TAAATTTTCTAATAGGATTCTATCTAGAATTAGTGTTTTTATAAAGCACTTTTTAAAACAATTTCTTGGCATGTGTCACATTTCTTTTTTCTTTTTTTGAGACTTGAGTGTTCCACATGGCTTCAAGTTTTATTTAATCAGAACTCCATGATTATTACTGGCATATAAGTATCATTTTAATATTGCCAATTCTTCTGTGTGTGAATCTTTCATGCATAAGGTTGACTTGGAGACTTTGATTTAAGACCTAGCATAATTACCAGGGTTAACAAAAATTCAAGGAAAGAATTGTGCACGGGTTAGATATTAAAGGTATAGTTAGCTGTACAAAAAAGCATTTGTCATAGTGAATAAAACTAAATAACTAAACATTTGACAGGATACATAATTTTGGCTGAGCTATTTCAATCATAATTTATAATTATGATTATAATTTATAATTATGATTATAATTTATAATTATGATTATATAAAAGTTTTGGGAATTTCCAAGATTGCCCAAATATATATGATGAGATTACATGTGATTATTTTGCACGCAATGTCTGAAGATAGTTGCAGTCTTAATGCTTAGATTTTGGTGAGTAGCACCGTGACTGTGCCATCTCTGCTGTAAATGTAGTTCTGGAGCAGAAAGAAACTTAACAACTACTTAGTCTTAGTTTTCMTAAGGAGAAATAAATAGCTTTCTGTGAGTTGTGAGTTTATAATATAATGAAAAGCATATTTTTGATCATCTTTTTAAAGATAACCTTTGGGTATTTTTTTGTGATTAATCAGTGTCAATGAGGAAAACTATATTTCTACTCTTAAGAGTTCAGGCTGTTTTGCATCTCAGAATCCTTCAAAGCATGGATAACCAAGGGAAAATATATCTATAGTTGGTTTTTTTTTTTTTTTTTTTTTTAAGAACTAGGGATTTTCAGCCTCAACGAAAGTTTGAAAGGCTAGCCTATAAAAAGGAGATTTGCTTCCTTCAGCCTAATTCCAGATGGAAGGAGGCAGGTCAATGGAAAAAGGTTACAAGAGAGAGATTTTTGAATAAGTTTCAGGAAAATCTTGTTAATAAACTAAATGCCACAATGACTGGGTTGTCACGGGGACATGTCATGACTGTTCTGTCCTGGTCATTTTTAAACTCAGGTTAATACCCGTCAGGCATATTTTATAAGAAGAGGAAAACCTACACTAAATCAACAGTAAATGGCTGTTCGAAAGATGAGCATCTGTAAATCTAATTTCTTCTCTGTTYTTGATCTCATTTATGAGGTGTGATGCCTGCTGTGGCAGTAGATTGTGTTAAATATTATATTGATGGCTAAGCGCTGACTTGAAGTTTAACTCATTCCCTCTTTTCTTATTTTAATTGCATTTTAAATCTCGGTTGATGTGATTATGTTCACAGCAATGCGGCTATGCCTTTTTTGTAAAAGGAAGGTTCCTTTGGAAAGCAACTATTTGTCCTGCTGGTATTTGTAGAACACCTTCTGTGTGTTAGCATCAGAAGCAGGGTCAAAATGTCAGTCTTCTTTATGTCATTGTGCCCTTGTTTCCTTTCTTTTATCCTGTGATCTCTGTAATCCTGTAGCCCTAACAACAAATCATGCTAAAATGGAAAGTGCTAACCAATTAGAAACAAATACCCAAGGATCATCTAACAAATAACCAGAGGTATAAATTCCATTATATTATAAACTCACAATTTTTCCCATGAGAAAAGCATATGAGTTGAATAAATATTGTTCTTTGCAAGTCCTTTGTGGGCAGAATTGAGGCTAGTTACTATGTCTTTTTGGCTATTTCTTGGACCTGACCAGAATTCCTAGCAAGAGTTACCCATTTTTGTTTCAAGAATGAGGTTAGTAACATTACTTATACTATTGTTCGTCTGGATCAACTTCCCAAATGGAGCTCATAACCAAATAGTAATAGCAGAAAAGTTAGAGTAAATGAAAAATGAGGAATAAACAGAGCTATAAAAGCAAAATCCATTGTTGCTACTTTGTAGCATAATTAAGTCTTATTTTCTGACCAGACTATATTAATACATTTGCACTTTTCCTTTTTAAATACTATGATTTTTACTAGGCCATGTGTTATGGCATTCTATCCTCTAAAAAGGCAACATTGCCTGACATCTACAGCCTTGTATGTAGCTTGGCATTTCTATGCTATAATCTCAAATGCATTTTGGGGTAGTGAAATGTCATCCAGTGAATGTTTGTTCCTAAACATCCTATAAGTTCTCAATCATTTTTTCTTGATAATGACATATGATAATGGGCATGTTGACAATGAGAGAACTGGCCTCTTTCCCACTGTGTGTCACATGTACATGGCACTGCTCTTTTTATCCCAGTGGGTGTTGGCCACAGACAACTGTAGGAAAGGTCAGGGCCACATGCATTATTTCAGCTTTGAAAACTCTTCTTTCTTGGCTTCATCTTCTGTTTAAAAATTGGCATAAACCTGGGGCTGGAGTTGTGGCTTACAGGTAGAGCCCTCGCCTAGCATGTTTGAGGCAGTGGGTTTGATCCTCAGTACCACATAAAAATAAAATAAAGATATTGTGTCCATCTATAACTAAAAAGATAAATATTAAAAAAATGGCGTAAACCCAAAATTGCCCGGGGAGTCTACCAAATGCCCTAGACATGCTCAATAAAATAGAGGCAAACCTCAACTCTGACTTCCAAAGGTGGAATAACGATCACACAGACCAGACTCCATTTGAAAAATTCTATGTTATCCTCTTTTATATATTGAGCTTTCAAATCAATTGTCCTGTGTACGGGATGTTTAGATTTCATTTTAGGTTAACAGTAGCAATTTAATAGAATGTGTAAAATAAGCACTCTCTATACTCAAAGGCATTTACAGTGTGTAGAGAACAAGTCTGATAAACACTTCAGCCAGAAGAGTTCTCCTGTGGAGTATTGTTTTTGGGAAAAACAACAAAGGCTGCTGTTTGTGTTAGGGTGCCACCTTTTAGCRTCTGGAAGAAAATCACTCCATTATAGATGTGGGATTAAATTCATCCCTCTGGGGGTCTGTGGCTCAAGAACTGAAGCAAAGGGGTGATGTACCAACTCCTAACATGCCTCAGCAGTTGCAGCTGTTAAATTGGGGTAAAGGATGCAATGTGTTTCAGCCCTCTGCCTTCTGATTGACTGGATTGATAAGACACTGTTGACAAAAGCTTTTCAGTTCTAATTTATAGTGACATTCATTTTCCCCTCTCTGCAGTGGCTGTTGAAAAGGATTTTGAGGACCTTATTGAACTCTTTGCTGGAGCATTCCATGTAGTTATCGAGGCCTTTTCTAGGCAACTTGGACAGCAAGAACCAAAATGGCAGTCATTATGTACCTCCTTTATGTACTAAGTACAGCMCTTTCAGCCAGTCACTACAGTCAGTCATTAGCATAAAAATTCCTGAAGTGTAATAAGCAATGACTTAAGTTCTGTAATATGCAATAAGTATCATGTTCATGAGCAATCTTTCTCTTAGGAGGGAGCAGTTTCACCTCTAAATGACCAGTATTGGTACAATTAGGCCTGTGTGAAGTTGAAGTTGCTGTTCTCAAAAATGAAATATTGAACTGATGTCTTCAATGTCTTCATTGAACATTCAAAAAAATACAGAGAGTGGACAGATCTGTTTCATATATCATTGATGCTCTTGGCTTGGACATGTTCCCTTCATTGGGTCTGTTTTGCAAGCCTAAATTTGAGCCCATAGAGTTTCTTTTTTTTTTTTTTTATTGGTCGTTCATAACATTACATAGTTCTTAATACATCATATTACACGGTTTGATTCAAGTGGATTATGAACTCCCGCTTTCACCCCGTATACAGATTGCTGTATCACATCAGTTACCCTTCCATTGATTGACATATTGCCTTTCTAGTGTCTGATGTATTCTGCTGTCTGTCCCA